CTGGCAAAAAGTGTGAACACAGGCCACTTTCAGGGTGGGCAGGGCCATAGGAGACAGGCTCCCCCGCTCACCGTGGGTGAGAATGACAAGGAGCACAGCCCCCAGGCGGGTGACTGGCATCTCTACCAACACACAACCACACACACACCCCACAACCCAGGGGCCACATTCCTGGGAATCCATGGGGCAGAAATGCACCCGGAAGAGTCATCTGTTCGTGCACGTTTGCGAAAGCTTGTGTGTGCGGGGGGGGGGGGGGGCGTGCATAACGATATTGGAAGTATTTCACATGACCGTCCAGAGACGGTTATTACCCACACATTGTGTGACCCGACTACGCTATGTAATACCAAGGTGTGGATTCCCTTGGAAATGTTTCTAAAATTCACTGCCCGTGAAAGAAGCAAGTTGAATATGTAGGGACAGAACTCTGAAAACCATACATAACACAAAACTACTCTCCCTTTCTTAACAAACGTATATGGCAACTCAAGTATATTGCCATGGAAAGTTCTGGAAGGAGTCACAACAAATGACTGATTCATGCCATTTCTAGCTGTGTAACAATTCAGCCTCAGTTTCCCCTCTTTTAAAGTTGGTAACAACAAACCTCATAGGGTTATAATGAGCATTAGTATAACTAATTATTGTAAATCATTTGGCACATAACATGCCGTCCATAAATATTTAGGGAAGTAAAGCAAGAATCACTTTTCAGCCAAACAATCGTATTTTCAGCTCAGCTTTCAGTGCTGGAGGCTCGTCTGCCTGTCTTTGCTGCCACCTAGTGGTCACAGTAGGAAAGCACACATTGAAATGCTTTCTTCTCCCTTCCTGCCTTTATTCATTCAAGTCCCCGTTTTTCAAGGGCCTAGAAGGCCTCAGGCACACACAGGCCTTGGAGTTGGAGATGGTCAGGTTCTAGAACGGTTCCAGGCCTCCGTGAGTCTCAGTTTTCTTATCTCAAGAAGGGGAGTAATAACAACGTACATCATACCTTTGTGAGGATAAAATGCGATAATGCATGTAAAGCATTTAACACTGGCCCCGACACAAAAGAATGTCCTAGAAATGGTAATTATTGGTATTTACACACATACCTCCTTGCTGCTTAGGAAAGCAGTATTATACCCATTTCACAGATGATGAATTCAAGATTCAGAAAAGTCAGGGTAACCTGCCCAAAGCTACTTGGCTAAGACAGTTAGGAGCTAAGACGAGAATCCTGGTCTGCCCAAGAGGAGCTGTCTCCCCGCCCTTAGGATACCATTTCACATGCTCGTCTGAAAAGGAGTTGTGGGGAAAAGTTTTTATTTTTTCTTTTACCACTACTGGTGCCTGAATTTTGGATTCCACATACCAGGAACATTAAAAAAAATACCCAAATGTATACTGACTCTTGCTGCAAAACAAATTGCTTTAAAACCTGTTTTGTGTCCCAGATGCCCCAGCTGTCCCTAGTCTGGCCCGCAGCTGAGCTCTAGTAATCTCAAGGGAACTAACTGGGAAACTATCAGCTTCCAAGGTCATGTGGCTGCTGGCAAGATTCATTCTCAAGGCTGTTGGACTGATGTCTTCCCAGCTGATGACCAGAGGCCACGCTCAGCTCCTGGCCACACCACCAATCTCTCCTATGTGGGAGTTTGCTTCATCAAAGTGTAAAGCAGGGCATGAAGGCAAGAAGGAAGTCACAGTCCCTTGTAGCCTAATCACGAAGTGATTCTTGCTGTATTCTGTTTGTTAGAAGCGAGTCACTGGGGCCAGCCCATCCTTCAAAGGAGGAGAGAACACAGGGGCTTGAATACCAGGAAGAGGGGATCACAGGGGGCCATTCTAGAGCCTCTCTGCCACACCAGTCACCCACTTAGAAAATCACCCCCCACCTCTGGCTACCATAATTTCATAAACAAAACAGACCTTTTTACAATTTGTCTAGGTATCGAGAGAATTTCAGAATAAACGGTAGTTCTTGTGGGTGAATCCACATAGCCCCGTGTGAAATGCCCACATGGTCCTGAGTTTCCTCACTCTGCTGAGCTCTGGCGCCTGGCCCAGCACTGGGAACCTCCTGCCCGGAGCGGGATAGCACACCAGCTCAGGGGAAGTGAAGAGAGGAGGGGATGGGGTTGGCCTGAGCATGGCTGGGGCCCACACAGTGCCCAGCACCCCAAAAAATTGGCTGGCTAAATGAGTGAAAACATCAGTGCAAAACCTCATATGGAAGTGTCACATTTGCCTTCAAATCCCAGACAAGGAAACCCAGCCCTGCAAGGCTAAGTGACAGCTGGGTCTAAGGTTTCAGCCTAGAAAGGACATTGTATTTGCAGGGTGTTTTATTCGCCACAAATCCCTTCCTCATCCATTTGCTAAACGGATAGTCTCAACAGCCCCTTGCTGTAGGACGAAGACTGCCATTTCCCATGTTAGCACTGAGCAAACAGGTTCAGAGAGGTTAAGCACCCTGCATGGGGTGACTCAGTGTGGCTATGGGAAATGGACCCAGAGGAGGCCCAGGGACGCTAAAAAAAAAAAAAAAAAGCAGCAAGGGGTTATTGAGCAGGGCGGTCTGGCCTGGGGTCCTTTGGCCAGTCTCCCCGATTGGGGGGGGCGTCAATCCCAGGGGGGCTACTCCGGTGCTGGTGCTCTTTGCCACTCAGCCAAGGCCACCAGGCATTCTCACCTGTAGCAGGGGACAGGCCGGGGAACTTGAGTCAGATGGCCCCAGTGCAAAGGCAAGAACCCCTTGAACAAGCAGCCAAGTCAGCCCCAGAAACACAGAGCTTTTTCCACTGCCCCTTTGCTTGGGCCAAACCTCCCCCATCCCGGCCCCTCCTCAGCCCGGTCCCGCGTGTGCCTCTCTACACAGGGCGCCGCTTTGCCACTTGGCCCTTTTGTTTTATTTTTTAAAAAAGTTTATTTATTTATTTGACAGAGAGAGAGCACAGGCAGGGGGAGCGGCAGGCCGAGGGAGAAGGAGAAGTAGGCGAGCCCGATGTGGGGCTCCGGGGCTCGATCCCAGGACCCTGGGCTCATGACCCGAGCCAAAGGCAGCCGCTTACCCAACTAAGCCACCCAGGCGTCCCCCCACTTGACCCTTTTAACTGCATATTACCTGGTTTAGTTATGCCCTCCCTTCTTGAGGAGCACCCCCCTGGGGCTTCTCTCTGCATCCCCCAGCCCCCAGCTGAGCTCTTGACCAGTGACATCCCTGGAGGAAAATGGCCACCGCTGTCTGGTATTTACTGTACCAGGGGTATCCACTCTCAACCCACATACAAAATCCTGAGGTGAGATGCTATAGTCAGCCCTTTCTACAAAAGAGAAAACCCCCAGGAACCAAAAAGTTGATGAACGTGGTGGAATCACACAGCTAGCAATGTCACAGCTGAAAGGGGGAAAGGCCACGTTTTAAAATCCTGATTACTGCATGCAAGGCACTGGGCTAACACATTTATAGGCATCATCTCTCTGAATTGCCAGCACGTGGTGGCCCCTATCATTAAATACATTTTACCTGCAAAGAAACTAAAACTTAGCTGGGCCAAGAGACCTGCCTGGGGCGTGTTGGGGTGGAGAGGGAATGGAGCCCACAGCTGGCCCTCTTCAGCACAACTCTCCACTGCCTGCAAACCTGCAGGCAGGTGCATGTGGTTAGTACACTATTAGGAGCCGGCTCCTGCTCTTCAGCTCTCCTTTGGTGGCTGTTCTCATTGCTCCCCTGGCTGTGTGCTGTCGCTGAGGATGTGAACCCCAGAGCCACCTTTATAAAGGCAATTAGAAAACTTTAATGAAGGATGCAAAACAAAACAAAAAATTCTGATATACGGCAAGACACGTCACCATCATCAATGAAAGATGTCAACTCTTTCCAGTTTAGAAGTGCAAAGCAATACAATCAAAACACCACTGAGGTCTTCTGCAGGAAGAATTTAATACACTTATTCTAGAATGACATGGAAGAGTGAACAACCATCAAGAATTTCATGAAACTGGAAGATCTGAAAGGGATACTTATCAAATAGCAATGCTGAGTATAATGGCTTGTTATCTATAATTAAGAGAGTACTGCTCCGGGAATACAGATGAAGAAAAGCAAAAGCATCAGGAAAACCAGTCTTCTTATTTCACCACTTTGGTCATGAAAAGAAACAAATTAAAACAAGATCACCTTTCATACCTATCAGACTGGCAAAGATGAAGAATGACAGTTTCCAGTGGTGGGGGGGGTGAGTGGGGAAACAGACTCTCTACACTGCTGTGTGCATTGTGTATGTGGCGGAGGGTGGGGGCGGGGGAGGACCCTGGGAATGAGTCAAACCTTCCTGGGCAGACGTTTGATAATATCAAAATGTAAGGTGCCATGCTCTCCGACCCAGAGGCTGCTTCTCCCGAGTTTATCCTTATGTAATGAAAGATGTCTCTCACAGCACTGTTGATAATAGGAAAATGTTGGAAGCTGCTTACATGTCCATCAATAAAGGGAATTTGGTGAAATAAATTATGGTATGCTCATACACCACCAGATCATAAACGATTAAAAATAAAAAATATAGACCTATAGCACTGACATAAGATTATTGAGTAAATAACAAAGATGACCTTAACCCTACCACTCAGAAATAACGATTGGTAAATATCTTGTTTATATTTTCCCTGCCTTTTTTCTGTACATGCACACACATGTTATTTAAAGATATGGAATCAGACCATATGTATTACTTCATAACTAGCATTTTACTTAACTATATATTGAATACTGTAATTTTTTTCAAAAAGCATTACCGTATGCTAAAAAAGCTACTTTCATTAACTTTTAATTTCACAAAGTGCATGTAACACACTTTGTTCCCAACACACTCATGTAACAATGCACACACTACAGGTAAAGCAAAATCTCCGTCCCTTCCTCCCCAGAAATCACCGCGTTGAGTGTTCATTTTTGCAGATATTCTCCCAAACTTTTCGGGCTATTTATATTCATATACATGTACATGCACACATGGAGTTATGTGTTTATATTATTCCATAACTTGGTTTTGTAGAATTAACAATGACTTGGAACTCTGCGAGGAACCAGATAAATTTTACTCTTTCATTTGTTGTCTTATACATTTTCTTACTGATGGCCATTTAATAGTTAAAAAAAGAAACAACAAACAAAGGCATAAAGCTATGGTAAGGAAGGAAGGGGAAGGGAGGGAAAGAAAAGGAAAACAAAAAAGGAATCTTCCGGATGAAAAAGATTTTAAAGCTCCCTTGATTTCCACTAGAGGGAGACAAAGAAACACAGATGAGAAGTGTCCGCCTGTGCCTTAATCGCAGCCTTCCCCGATATTCCAGCATTTTCTAGCCCCCTCCTCCCACCGTGCCAGTTTTTCACACGCGCGCCACCTCTTCCTTAGGATACGGGGCTACGAGTCTTCGCGGGGCGTTCCCCCTGTTCCCCCACATTCACCCAAACTCTGGGGAGCGCGCCCGGAAGAGCCGCGGTCGGTCAGCGGAGGTGCGGTCCAAGTCCGCCGGGGGCGGGTCAAGTGCGCAAAGATGCACACAGTCTCGAGGACCCTGACCTCCCCGGTCCCCAGCTTCAGGTTTTGGGGGTTTATCGCCCCCTCGTGGCGGGATCTGTTAGCGCGCCCCGCTCACCCCCGCGCGCGCCCGGAACTGGCACCTTCCGAACAGCTGAGGTCAGGGTGATCGTAGCGCTCCCAACACCCTGGCCCCGAGAAATCCCCCCACCTCCAGGGTTCCCCAAAGTGGGTGTGCGGGGAGAGGGGAGATACCGAGCTCCACCTGCCAAGCATGGTGGATCTTCCAGTCTTAGCCAGAGAACAAGTTTGTCAGCACGCATTTAATTTCCTCTTGTTGTACGTGCCCAGCTCCGTGCTGAGTCTACGGGTGTGTCTGTGGGGGAGGGGGAGTATGAAATAAGCTCAGACCCCACGTCTGTGCTCCACCTGCCGAGCGTGTCGGCCCTCTGATCCCCGGCCTGGCTGGCTAATCCCGCCCCCCCCCCGCGGGGACAGAGAGCAGCAGAAGTCCTTGTGAGGTGTCCTAGGAGAGCGGAAATGCCCTGGGCAGGGATCCCCGCAGGCTGGTTCTCACGCCAGCCTGACAGTTCCTTGCTGTAGGGCCTTGCTTGGGTCTGGCCTCCATCTGGATCTGTGTCTCTGGCCCCTTGGGAGATTCCCTTCAAACTTTCACACGCCCATGTTGCTGCTCACCTGGATGAAGATCTCCGAAAGCAACTCTGGTCCTTCCTTGGACTCAGTATTCCTCCTGGTGAGGGGTCTGAGCTGGCTCGTCATCCCAGGGGGCATCTGTTCCAGGAGGGAAGGAGGAGAGCCAGAACCTTCGGCCTTGCTGTTCTGAGCGAAACCCAGGGGCCTGAGTCAGGCCCCACCTCTGGGGAGGACACCCCCACCCCTCCCTAGGCCGATAGGCTTCCCCCTGAGGAATTCTCACTCAGTGCTTCAGTTCTCAGCTTAAACTAATTTTCTGAATTAGAGGCCAACATTTAAGAATAAGGAGAGTTACACCCACATTCCCGGCTTCCTGTAAATCTCCAAGCTCCGCCTCCCTTGACCTGACTTCCTGGGGGTGGGGCTGAGGACTGGCTGCCCCGGCAGATGGGGGCTCCGGCTGCTGGTTTGCTGCCGCGCCCACTCCCCAGCCCTGGACACCACCCATGTGAGCTGCCTGGCCCCGTGGGCGCTGGGGCCCCTGGTCTGGCCAGGGGACTTCTCGGGGCAGGGACAGTGTCTGTATCCCCAGTGCCAGCACCCGGCTTCTAGCACGGTCGCAACACAGCGACCTTTCGCTGAACAAACGAATGAGTAATTAAATCTCAACGTACACCCCTCATCCTGGCATTCAAAGTCTCCTTGATCCTGTCCCAAGCCACCGATGCGCAGGACAGCGACAGAGATGGGATAGGATCGCGGTGGCCTGTATGTGACTTTGTAGCCCTTTATAAAATCCCACTTAACTCCTGTCAGCAGCCCTTTGGGGTCTGCTCTATTTTCTCCCATTTCACAAATGAGGAAGGCAAGGCTTAGACAGGTGAAGAGATCTGCCGGGGATCGTGGGAACCTTGTGAGGTGCTTGCTAAAATACAGCTTCCCAGCACTCCTTCAGGCTTTCCGCTGAGGAGCCTGGGGACCTGCCTTGCCACATGTGCCCAGGGAGACCTGCTGTGCCAGCGCTTTTGGGATCCTTGCCTGTTAGAAGCCCCAACAGGGGCCCTAGAAAAGCCTCTGTCCCACCAGGCACCTGGGAACCTTCAGGCAGAGATGGGACATTCATCCCCTTGTGAATTGATCCACCCACAGACCCCGTGCTGGGCAAAGCAGACCCTGCCGCTGCCCTGGAACCTTTGAGGCCCATGGGGGAGATGAAAAGTCATCAGTACACAGTGCAAAATGTGCTATGAAAGAAAGATCTGGAGAGGCATGAGAAGGGAAGCTGAATTCCGAGGGGGAGGAAGTAGGAGATGGGGGATCCCCTCCACAGGCTAGGGTGTGTGGGTCGGAGAAGGAGGGCACCAAGGATGGCGTGTTCCCTGTCATTTATACTGGCTTTTGGACCCTTGGAGGAAGTCATGTCCACTCTCTGGGCCTCACTCTCGGTACCTGTGAAATGGGTGCCATGGGTGATGTGAGGAGACTGGACAAGACTTCATCATCTCTTATCGATGTAGAAAGGGAATCAAGCTGGGGAGGGGCTGCCTTTGTGCTTTTCGCCCTCTTTCCTGGCTGGGCAAGGCTTAACACACTGCAGGCCCAAAGCAGGCGAGTTCTCCAGTTACCGCCATAAATCTCTCCCTGATCTGGGGATGCCGATTAGCACTCCCAGCTGGGAGTTCCCTCTGGTTTTCTTTCAGCCCCAGCCAGGCTGTGCCAGAGAAGCTGCTCCTGGAGAAGCTGCTTAGGCCGGCTTGGCTCAGGGTGCTGCCCTCAGCCAGACCACAGAGAAACCCTGACCACTCCCAAGCCCCTCCTGACATTTACGAGGTGCTGCTGAAGGGGGGGGCGCCCCGAACCCCGAAGGAATGTTAATTGGCTAAAGCTGTTGTCTATGCACCGGCTGGGGCCCAAGTTATTACTGTTTTATTTTTTATTTGTTTTCCCCGCGGCGCCTGGGTTGGGCTGGGCGGCTGGCCGGCCGCCTCTCCACACTGGAGCCAGAGATGGGAAGGGGCTAGGGGTATAGGGGGGCGCAGAGGACCCTCAACCTGTCCCCAGCTCCCACCCAGCTTCTTCCTCCTGTTGGGGTCTCAACTCAGGGACACGGTGAAGAGGAAGTTCTGGAAAGGGAATGAAATGCAGAGCTGACAGCACAGTTTGGGTGTCATACCCACGAGGGTCTAAAAGCTGGCTCTACCCTCCTGGTTGTGTGGCCCCAGAAGGTATAACCTGTCTGATAAAATAATATTAAGCTTTCTTTAAGTGCTGGCCTGAGGAATAAAGGAGAAAAGGAGCCTACTCAGAACACAGTGGTATAATTATAAGAAAGGCCGTCTAGGGTGGGGACAAGACAGCTTACTGAGTGAGTCACAGCTGGAGAGACCCTTCCAGAGGGGCTGCCTTACCGTCCAGATGGCGACACAAGCCCAGGCAGGGAAGGAGATGCACGTGGAGTCCTTTGCGGCAGATGTGACGTGGGGGCCAGGCCTTTCCTCAATGTCCACTAGAGTCTGAGGGAGTCAGCCGCCACAACCTGGGGGGGGGGGGTCACACTGAAAAAATGGCACCACTGGCTTCTCCCCAGAGGGTGCTCTACAAGTATCTTCATGCTACAGAGAAGAAACTGAAGCTCAGGAATTATAAGAGCAATACTACTGCTAATAAAAAAGAATAGCTGTAATTTATTGAGCACTTACTATGTATCAGACCAGGGGCCAAGCCCTTTTCATGCATCCATCCAGTATATACTTACTCAGGGGTCCATCACTGGGCTGGGTGCTGGGCTGGGTGCTGGTGATGAGATAGCAGATTAAACAGAGCACAACCACCCGGAGCTTACAATTGGGGAGTGGGCTTGGGAAGGGACAGAGGAAATAAGCAAGTGTGTGATTGCAAACTGGGGAAGCACAGGCGCAGGAACAGAGAGCAAGTGCGACCGCTTCCGGAAGTCAGGGAAGGGACTTAGGATCAGACCCAGAAAGATCTGCTTCCGCGTCTGATAAACTAGGAAACTGAGGCTCCGACAGGTAAAGTAGGTGGCCAAAGGTCACCCAGCTAGTGAGCAGAGGTGCCCGGACATCAGTTTTGCTCCCAACAGTTGGCACCTGCTCTGTGACCAGTCGGTGGGATTCTGTAGGCTCCTCTATCCCTACACTGAGTACTTCATCTTCAAGGACATCACAAGAAGGCTGCAGAGTCAGGACTGGGGCTTGGGCTCTGACTGCCCACCCAGTGCCGTGTTTCTTCCTCAAGATCCAGCCAGGAGCTCTCCCTTGGCAGTCTGGGGACCCCAGTGACCCAGAAAGATCCTCTGGGTGACCGAGGTAAACTTCTCAGACATCAGCTGCTTCTGACATGACTGCAAATTCTAGATGCCATCCTAAACAACAGCTTCACAATGGGCCTCTAGCCTGAATAATGATTTACTTAGGACGACTCATCAAAACCAGCCCTCATTTAATCAGGGGTATCATCAAAAGCAGCCCTGGTTCTCTCCCTCCTCCTCCAGCCAGTTTTGTGTGAGAGTGGGTGGGGTCGGGGGTCTGTGGGGTCTTCTATCAGCCAGCACAGCTCGCAAATGGGAAATGTCCCACCAGGAACCCAGGCTCCCAGGAGGGGCATGGCTGAGCACCCCTGGTCCTTGGGGTTCCCCATTCTGGAGTTTACAACATTCAATTTGCCTGAAGCCTGTGTCTTAGTGCTCATGCTGTGAGACTTGAGTTCCTGGACAAGGGTATAGCCCACCTTGCTCTCGGAAGGCTTGCAGTCAAGTTAACTCATTTCTTTGTTTTTCATTGTGCAAATTTCCAAACAGGCGCAAAAGCAGAGAGAGCAGCTGGCATCTAGGTACCATCACCCAGCTCCAGCATCTCTCTGCACTTTGTATACTTCCTCTCTCCATCCCTCTCCGCCTTTAATGTTTTTTTGTGTGGAGTGTTACAAAGCAAATCTCAGGAGTCATGTCTTTCACTTCTAGACTCCTCAGTATGCATCTGAAAAAACAGAGGGACAGTTTCTTACATAATCACAAAGTGGTTATTGCACTCACCAAAATTAAGTTTCCCCATATTCAGTTGCTTTATACAAATGAAGGTCCAAACAAGATCTCACTGTATCTATGAATTTCTCTTAAATATTTTAAAAGTCTTTAAAAATATGCGTTTCCTTTCCTCCCTCCCCCAATCTTCATGACACTGATTTGAATTTAACTCATTCCAACAAATATTTATTGAGTGAAATATTTATTGAGTGCCTGACTGCTCTATACCAGGGGCTGTGCTAAATGTTTTGTTATTAAAAATACCAGTGGCTACCCTTTCTGTAGTGTTACTCTGTGTCAGGCTTTGTGTTAGCATTTTGTATATTTGGTGTCAAAATCCCCTGAGATAGAGTTTATTGTCTCTATTTTCCTTTTTTTGTAGTTGACCTCATGGAGACCAGGGAAGCAATAACCTGCCCAAGGTCACACAACTAACAAGCGGCAGAATTGGGTTTTAAAGCAAGCACCAGTGGCTGCAGAGTTGCCTTTTCCCTGCTTCCCTGGGATGCACAGAGAGAGACCGCATCCTCAGTTGGAAGGAATTGGGGAGGATGCTTGTGGAAAGGGCTTGTGAAGGGCTCCCCCAGGGCCAGGATGAAAGACTATGCCTTTACTGTGATTTGCTGGAATGAATGTTGCTTCCCCAGACCATGTGAAATGGGGCTTCAATAAGGGAAAACGAGAAGGGAATGGTGAGACACTGAACTCATTTTATCCTAGTGTGACCATCTATGTATATGGCTATTTGTTTTATTCAGGGTCACATGGTAACTGGGAGTTGGAGAATATGGAGCTTTACAACAAAGTTCACTCTGTGAATTAGTTAAACTCTTTGAGCTGTTTAGGATAGAAACCCAAATGTAATGGGCTTAAGCAAAAAATATTTAATTATTGGGGCACCTGGGTGGCTCAGTCGTTAAGCGTCTGCCTTCGGCTCAGGTCATGATCCCAGGTCCTGGGATCGAGCCCGGCATCGGGCTCCCTGCTCAGCAGGAAGCCTGCTTCTCCCTCTGCCACTCCCCCTGCTTGTGTTCCGTCTCTCGCTGTGTCTCGCTCTGTCAAATAAATAAATAAAATCTTTAAAAAATTTAATTATTTATTGGCTCAGTTAGCTGAAAAGTTGGGAGGGGCATAGCTTCAGGCACTGCTAGGTCCAGAGGACCAACAAAGTGAGCATCATCATATACCAAACACCAAGGCAAACTCTTTTTTTTTTTTTTTAAGATTTTATTTATTTGACACAGAGAGAAACAGCGAGAGAGGGAACACAAGCAGGGGGAGTGAGAGAGGGAGAAGCAGGCTTCCCGCGGAGCAGGGATCCCGATATAGGGCTTGATCCCAGGAC